CCTTTTTTCAGATCATTACAATTAGCATTCAGAGAATGTAATGAATCTGCTCTTAACTGCCTCAAAAGCCAGTGAAATTAAACACATGAAGTGCCAGGTATTTAAGTAGATTAAAAGAAAAGATGCTTGGATTATTACAACATGACTTCTACTAGTCCAAAGGATCCTAAAATGGAGCGACCACGAACGTGTTTAATGTATGCAGGATTGCTGAAAAGCACTCTGGTATAAACAGCCAATGTGGAGAAGTTCCACAACAGAAAATTAAAAGGGGAAAAACAAAATCCCAGTGTAGTAGTCGGTTTAATTTATTCAACATTTTTTTACAAAAAGAAAAAGAGAAGTCGATACAGAATTCATAATGTTCCCCCCGTTTGTCATTTCTGCAAGTGTGCATCTTTCTGAAGGTTGCTGTGATATTTTATTGCTGGGCACTCAAAGTTCTGCCACTTTGTCTGCAGCCAGCTGGCACGGCCAGGCAGCTCTGCTGGCAGGGGCACGCAGCACAACGCTGTGCTGGGGGTGAAGGCTGAGTCTGGCAAAGGCTTCCCCTTAGGGCAGACAATAAAAAGGACATATCTAATTCATCTTAAATGTTACACATCTCTGGAATTCTGTCACGTTGGACTATTAAAGGTGAAGACTGAAGAAGTGCTAATAGCAGAGTCCTACTTTAAAAACCTAGCGTATCCTTTGTGCAGAGGTAGTCACATCACAAAAGTTCTTGCTGGGGTGCAGTAGAGCCCCTCCACAGGATTGCTGGAAAATCCTGAGGCAGCAAACACCCACCTCAAATAAAATCCCGTAGGCTGTGGGACAATATGAGAATGACTGAAAAATATATGAAATTACTTGGCAAATAAAAATGCCATGATGTGCCTGCAATGAATGTGGTGTTTTACTCGTCGTCCTCTCTGAATCAGAAGCTAGATATGTAAAGGCACATGTAATCAGGAGTCAGGAGAAACCTTTCTTTATCCTCCCCAGTGCAAATCAAGTACAGGAAAACTACTCTTCCCCAGGTAACCTCTCATTGAAGTTATGCCCTAAGAACAAGTTCAGAAGCACTAACCTTAGTTCTTACCAAATAGAACTTAACACAGGTTGATTCAGGTATCTAAGGACTGCAGGACTCCTATGAACAGAACACTGCTGAAATCCAGAGGTATTTCCAGACTGGTTAAGCTGCCAGCTTGCACTGCTCTCAGCCTGTCTCTTCCCCTGGAAGGGGAACACCAGCAGCCTTTCCACACGGGGGGTGCAGCCGGGCAAAACCTGCGCTACCGGTTCACACCGGGGGAAAGATTCCTTCCATCAGTTCTGACTCAGACCTGTCCAGTTCCTATTCTTGAGTCTTATTACTGCCTCCAACTTTGTTCACTCAAAAATTGTTTTGGACCAACTAAGAAATAGCAAAGCACAAATTCAATTAAGTTCTTACTTCTCACTCTTGAGCATAGGCTTTGAGAGGCAATCTGCCCTCAGCTGTGATGGGTGGCTGAGAAGCACTGGCATTGCCAGTCTTTTCTTTCCCTCCTTCATCTTTTTCTCCTTAAAAGTAGAGTTGTTGCTTTTCAAACTCAACATACAACCTAAGCAGCAAACGAGGCCAACGCTGCTCTGGGCTGGAGCGTCAGCCCTGGAGGTTTCCCACGTCTCACTCCGCGCTGGGGCAGGTTTGTGGTTGTTCCTTCAGGACTCCTGCCAGCTCTGCCAGTCCTTACCGTGAGCCTGTGACACAGAACCGGCCACTGCAGCTCTGGCACGTGACAGACACCCCCGTTATTTCTCTGTGTGCATTGTTGCAGCTTGTACTGACCACAGAAACTACCAGAAGTATTTTGTTGCTATTTGCAGCTGGCTGCTTCCTGCAGTGACTCTCCTCCAGTCAATGGACTTTGCAAACTACTTAATTCAGGAGACAACTTGATGGACACAGTCCCTCCCAGCAAAAAGGGAAGAGAAAAACCTGTGTGACAACTGCTGGAAGCTGAAGGGCTTAACAAAAGAGACAATTCAGGGGATTTCTCATGAATCTCTAACTTTGATATAAATACATGGTTTTTTTTATCTGGCAATTAAAAACATGCAACTTTTTTTCAAAGGGAGTAAAGTTCGTTGTCTGTATTTTGCATATTTAGACATTACAGGAAGCTCAAAACTCCTCCAGGAAATACTTTACAAAAGATGCATCTTTTCTACTCTGAAACTACTGCCCTTTCTAGAGTGCTTTTAAGACAATTAACATTTAATATGAATGTAGAAATCATACCTTTACATGGTAGGACAGTGGGCAGATCCTATTGCTGATGCAATAATTAATTCTAGAACTTGTAGGAACTCAGTGCGCAACTGGAGACACTTGCAAGTGGAAGAAAATGGAAACCTCAAATGATCTGAAATGCACCGAAAAGACTAAAGAAAAACTACCTGGAAATCCAAATATTTGTTTCTGATGCAAGCACTAAGAAGTGAGTAGCACCAGTCACTGAAAGACATGGGGAATTCATTTTTCTCAAGCAAATGCATTATGCACTAAAAATAGAGCATAAAACCACCCAGCATCAGAAGGTTCATGGAAGACAGACGATTGATAGCTTTGAAAAATAAAAACGATGACAACATAGAACATCTCCAATGTATGCACACATCCCTTAGAAGGTTTATATATGCTATATATATTTCAAAGTACACACAAACTGCCTGCTTGGCAGGTTGAGAAAATAGGAATACATCTTGGAAAGGTCATGATGAAAAAAAAAACAAAGGAAAACAAGAGTTATTTACATTCAGTAATTCAGTAGCCTTTTAACATCTCTATATACATACATACTCTTTTCTATATATGTACAGACTGCAATGGGATCTCAATGAAGCTTATTTCAAATGCAAAAAGAAAAAATACAAAAGCCCCTTGATAATTCACTTGACAAACGTTTACAGGTTGCAGAGCTTTCTTCATTTACAAAGGAAATACCACACGCTGACTAGACAACTAGCATCTCTGGGGAACTTTAAGTCCTTAAAAGAGGTGTGTGTTCCCAATGGACCATACTATTGGAAAAAAAATATTCAAAACTTGCTGAGCAGGGGTGGGGGTTCAGTGGGTTATAATTGCATTTACTGTGTCAGACAGACCTGAAGTATGAAACTAGTTAACAAGTCAAAATTTAGTTGCTGTCAAGGGATACCTTAAAAATGAAAACACCAAATTTTATCCCTGCAATTCCCAAGTCAAATATGTATCTTCCCCTTCTACAGCATGCTTCCAAGACTCACATGGTACAGAAATTATCACTTTACATTTAGCTTTGCTCCAATTAGCAGACCCCTATGCTTTAAAATTTTATATCCCTTTCAGAGGGTGATCTGTCCCAGGCAGATCAATGCCCCACAAGCAGGAAGAATACAGAGACCATTCCTGCCTAGGCTGGTAATTTATCTGACGTGACAATCGGTCTCTCCTGTTTCCTCCCTGTGAGGATGTTTGTCACACAGGCAGTGCTGCAAGGACACCACAGAGCTGTTCCCCATCCCATCCACAGCTATTTATATTCCTTGTCTCCCCCAAGCTTTATCAGCAGCTCATGCAAAGGAACAAACTACTACCAAAAAACCACACCCCAACCACCAAGCAGAAATTTTCAAGACAGAAAATACTTCTGTAGCTTAAAGGCTCCTTTTTATGTTAACCTTGAGGATGTTAGAACACTCCAGAGCTGTGGCTGCAGATGTGTTAGTGGCTGAATGGCAAAGCCAAGGCATTGATGGTGGCAAGTAGCAGAGAGCAGGCAAAGGAGAGCAAGTGGAGGAAGAGATTTCAGGAATGGGAAGAGTTTTGATGGATCTTTTAAGTACTGCTGGGGTTGACCTCCTCCAGGGGACATGAGTCCACAGGAAGCTTACAAGCATACTCTAGGAACTCCTGAAATAGTGTGGTTATCAATACAGAAAATATGCCATTCAATATTTGCTCATCCCAACAGTCACAGTTAGCAAAACAGGCTGAGAAGAGCACTTGGGAACTGAAGTGCATTTAAATGATGACTTGTTTTAAAAAAAAAAAATACATCACTATTTGTGAACCTACCACTTCTAGAACCTTCTTAGTGAGGATTAAGATCTAAAATATTATGTGACCATCTCAGATGGTTGCTGTTTCTACACCAAATAATAATAGCTTTTCAAAAGGCAGCAAAGTCCACACACAGCTTGCTGTTACTAGCAGTTCAGTTTGCTGCCTGCTGCCCTGAGGATCTGTCACCATACTTCTCAAAATCCCATTACTTCTGGAATGGATGCCAAACATCCCATGGTGGGTACCAAACAGGAACATCCTCTCCCACACCCTGTCTGTGGCCTGCAGCCTTCCAGGACAAAGCAGCTCCCACTGGTATCACAGCACTCAGACAAGCTTCCCCTTCTCTGCTGCCTGCATTCCAGGTGCTTTACAGAGCCAGAGCAGGCACAAGGGCAACAGGGAGCACACGGCTTCATCCTGGATCTGTATTTCCAGTTAGCCCCAAGCATGGGCAGGGGACTCCCCTGCTTGCCCGTTTCAGAGGGCAGCAGGGATTCCTCCCTCCCTCCCCAGCACACAGCTGCTGCTGCACGGTGCTGTCAGCACAGGCAGCACCCACAGGACCTCAAGGGAACTAACTGGCTAGGGGAGCTCACTGCAGCCTGGAGCTGTGGAGCTTCTGGCCTCAGGATGTGTAGGAAAACCTCCTTTGGCATTTGCATCTGGCTCACCCAGTGTTTGCAGAGGTGACACACGTTGCAGTGGATTGCTGCTGTCAGGGGAGCCTCACCTAAAACATGCATCCAGGTTTAAACACAGTTTACTTCTTGCCCCATTAATGAGTTCAACTGAGATCTGGACTGCAAGACAGAAGCTGGGTTAGAGCAGCCTGGAACATGCCACGTCCTGTCGGATTCCAATTGTACAGACTTGTTAGTTTTTTTGGAATACAGCGAGTGCCTAAACAAGACTCCACTTCTTGTTAGTACAATAACTTTTATTTGACATCTACAAGATCATTATCTTGTAGTTTTTTTGGACAGGTTTATACAATCTCAATTTTTCAATAGTGCAACCTGTGCAAGCAAGAAATGACAAACATTGTCCTTCACTTTCTTATAAACATCTACTATTATAGGCAAAACAAAACTTACCCATATTATAGATAAGTGACTATTCACATTTGTACATTACAATTTCTTTTAAACAGCTCCAGATAAACTCTACAATGTCTTACAACATATTAAACAGTATTCAAGTTACTGGGTAACAGAAACAGCACATACAGCGTAACCCTCAAGTGTTTCCCGTTCTCTAATTTACAGCTCAAGTAAGGTTTCATCTTACAAGTGACAAATTAAATTACATTAATGAAGTAAAAAATATAAGATTGTATGCGAGATGGAAGTGAATTTGCACTTAAGTTTCCATAACCACCTCGGATTAAGGAAATGCTTCAATTTAAGGAAAACAGGCATCCAGCCGTCTTTGCAGTACACATTAGGAATACCATTAATACATTAAAAATGAACTAATTTTAATTTAAGATGTTTATCACAAAAAGAACATGTTGTAGACTCAAATATATAACCCCCAGGAGAGAACCAGAAAAAATGCAACACCTGGGTATAAACACTATAAAAATGCAATAACCAATGCTGTACAACTAAGATTGTGTTTCTCTCCAAGTCCTGTCTCCTGTGTTTATCCTGTCCATGCCCGTTTCCAAAGACATGCACTGTCAAACAGAAACTGGGAAGGAACCTGAATGCATGATGTGCAACCTCTAGGTTTCATGCTTTTATAAACTCATAAATTGAAGAGAAAAACCCAATATATATTTTCTATATATATACTCAATACATGCATTCAAGGATATCTCCCACAGCAATGGCATTGATGCACTGCGTTAAACCCTGAGCACTGTATGACAAGATAAAAATAAAGCCTGCTTGGGGATTTTTCAAGCATTTTCAAACAAATTGTGGTTTGTAGCTTAAAAGGCCAAAAGTAAAAGCAAACAGGAAGCACTACAGAGAGCATAAGGAAAGACAGATGCACCACCATGAACAACTGCTGGCTTTCAGTTCTACCAACCTTTTTAGATCTCTTTATTCCCAAAGTATTTGAGAGCACACAACTGAACTGAAAAAGTTATATTTCTTTGGAATCTGTCCCTGATTTTTATGCAAGTGATATGCTTTTACAGCCTTTTCCTCAAACACCAAAGTCAACACCTGTACTTTGTCCTCTTACGCGTTGTTGAAATTGGTGATGCTCTGTGGGTGATGCTGCTGCCAGATCTGCTGCTGTTGTACTGCAAGCTGTTGAGACTGGTCTGATGTTGACAGGAGGTTTACAAGGGGCAAGACACAATTTGCAGGAATGATCAAACCTGAAAAGGGCAAGAAATCAATTTTCATAAGCATGCAAACAATTTAATGAAAATTACATTCAAATGACATGATTGTCTTGAAGTCATTCTAAACTACTGGTGACATGACTTTCAGTACCTCAAAACTCAGGAAAATCTCTATTTCAAGAGCTTACTACTCTTTGCCAGACATGGGGAAACAGTGGAGCCCTTACAGTTTAAAGGGAGCCTGGCTGGAACAAGCTGAATACAACATTTTTCCTCCTAGTAAATCAAAAGAACTGAGAGAATGAGTGTTCCAAAGCCTGGTTAAAAATTGTCTTCCTCCTTCAACCTGCCTCAAACCAGTGTCTGGGCTACAAATACAGATTTCAGCAGCTGTACTTCTGCCCCTCCCAGCAGACACACAGAGGAGCCTTTTCCCTTGTAAGCATTCTGTGAGGAAGTCTCTGATGTGACTCTCGATGTGGGATGACTTGTAACATCCAACCACTTCCCACTCCAAGATGGAAACAAGGGGGCAGAGGAGCCACTTACCTACGATTCTCTGCCCATCTTCTGTTCGTAGACGAACTATTTGCATTTTCACATTTGTGCCACTCACAGAGGCCAGCACCCCTTCCACCTTTGTCCAGACGCTCAGCACCGAGCCGCACAGGACGTAGTAAGTTCGGCAGCGCAGTCCCACCTCACAGACTAATCCCAGGCCTGCCTTCTTACAGTTGCCTCTCCTACAGCAGAGAGAGAAAGCTTTTGAAAATTCTGCAAACAGAAGGTATCCAATTCAATTAAAAATAAGACTTAAAGTTATTTGATGTATATTCAGAGTTGAGCGAGGGCTGCAAATACAGAGGAGGGTACTGCATCCACAGCACACCTCTAAGGGTCAGGCTGAGAGTGGTGGACTCTAGTACACAGCTACTCCTGGCTCATTCTACACGACTGCAAATTATACATCAGCATTCACCTAACACATCAGGTCTTCAAGGGCAAGTACAACGCTTCCTGTTTTCCCTCAAAGGTTGGGTCATTTGACTGGTCGTGGGACAATTTTTTTAAATGCAAGAGTCCCAAAGATTTCAAATGAATAGCAGAAAAACTGAAGTAGTGATAAACTAGCTTAGGTGAACAATTTCAGCTGTATAAATGTAGGTGCTTTAAATACTAACCAGTAAGCATGGGTGCAGGTATCTGCAGAAGAATTGTACTGCTCTAACCAGTGTGGCAGAGCATCTTCAGAAGGTACCTGGAAAAGTTGAAGTGGGAATAAAGTAGAACACATCAAGACTTGAAAAGAACAAAATAAAGAACGAAATAAATTGTCATTATTTGAGTAAAGAGGGAGCACCAACGTTATGATGGTAAAGAGGTACATTGTCCTGTAATTCCAAGCTAAGCAATGAAAATGCCATCTCAAAAGATGAGCAAAATGCTTGACAGTAGCAGAATTTGACTAACAAGAAAAGCAGCAGCTCAGAGCTTCCCTAACAATCAAGCAACTCAAGTTTTATCAAGTTTTTTCAAACTCAAGACCATAAAACTGACATGTTAAGACATTTTGCCAGCCTCTAAACAAAAGAATCCATTTAGAGCATTGCAAGTGACATCAGCCAACAGCTGAAGGCTCAGAATCACTGCTTAGACTACAGGGTGCACAGCTTTAAGAGCATGTCTGTACACCTTGCACAGAAGCAAAACTTTTCCTTCCCAGATCCTAAACCCCTCATTTTATATCCCCACATCAGATTGTTTACATTCAGAAAGCTTTAGACACGGGAATGCAGAAACTGTGTACGCCAGCTTAAAAAGGCCCAGATACAAGCTTTGCTCTGGAAAAATAAATATAGTTCTTAACTTGCCAGAATTATACACAAATACCAGAAAAAAGTCCTTACATATCTTTCCAAATTTTTCTAAGTTTCAAACTAGCATAACTTTAATGGTTACCTTCTTATATTTCTTTTTCAGGTCTGCACATGTTTCTAGTTTGAGTTGTTTCCCAGTATTTGGTCTGTATACTAAAAAAAGCTTCTTTTTAGGATTCACTTCTTTTACTAGAATAGCAGTTTTCTTGTTATTTCTTATCTGAAGAAGAAAAAAAAATTTTGTAAGTTTAAACATGCTGCCAGTATCTGCCTTAAGTGATTCCCTACTGTGCTCTTCACAGAGTAACTCTGTGTGCACACAAGACAAGCAGTAGTAAATAAGGCCACCTTTATAAGACAGTACCACTACTCTACAATAACCTCACAACTCTTCTTTACAGTGAAAGCACCTGGTTTCTTGATCCACGTTTATGTAAAAGCTACAAATTTGGGCTCACATTCCTATCAGTTAAACAGGAGAGCATCATACATCACACTGGAAACAAACATGAATTTTAATGTAAGACTGAAAGTATTTTGGAGAACTGAACATTAAGTTTTTCAGATGAGACAGCAGATTTGGTTAGGCACAAAAAAACTTCTCTGAAGATAAGCCAAGAGAAAAATCTTACCTGCATTGATAAATAAAATCCATCATCTGGACCAGTCTGTTCTGCCCAGATCTTAGTTGCTTCATCCCAAGACATTCCTCTCTCTACACTGATCTAGAAGACAGCCATGCAGGAGGGTTTGAATGGGAACAGGCTTTAAAACACCTACAGACAGGAACTAACAAACTGTAGAACCAAATATTGCCCCAGTGAAAAGCCTGGAACCTCCCCTCACTCAACACATGCTTTGCTGATTGCCAAATTTTATTAGCTCATAGAAAGAGGATAGAGAATGGACTTACTGTGTATAGTTCTACATGTCCAGAGGTAGAATATCCAGGAGTTAAAAACTTCTTCACATCTGCCTTCCTTACTTTCTCATCCCCAGAGCCCAAATCTTAAAAAAGAAAAGATGAAGTTACTCTCTTGCTCTGCTCTTACTTGAGTACAAGAGTACGGAGAAATTGATCCTCACCTAAGATGCCCATATCATATCTTCCATTCTTTTTAGCATTTTGAATAACTGCATTTAATGTGTCAGAGAAGTACTGGAACAATGCATTCTGCTGATGCACTTCCATACCCAGGATTCTGTTCAGAAATTTCCCTATATTGTTGTAATCTTAAAGAATAAGAAATACACATATTAGGTCAAGAAAGATTGATTGATGACAACATCCTCTCAATCAGTATTTAGAGTCTCAAAGAGATGACCTAAACCCATTTTTTGGGAAATGAGGAAAACATTCTCAAGTCCCCCCCAAAAAAAAGTCACTTTTCTACATAGTTACAACTTCAGTTCTATTGCTAGGAATCCACTATCATGATATATGATACTCCTGATGAAATTCCAAAGATACACTAAACACACAAATACCTTTATCAAGGGTGAGTATTCCAGATCTGTCTTCTACATTTATCAAGCCTACACCAATCAATCCCTGACGAACATCTAGGAGAAAGAAAGAAGTTTAATCATAGATGCTTTGCCATCTAAAAATAAACCAATTAAGTAACAGCTTGTTTAGCATTCTTGTTTCAGGATCCAATCCCAGAACTTCTGACACTTCAAATACACCACTTGCAATTTCTACCCAATACATCAATAATCAAGACAGAACTTGGCCTTCTGTCCTTCCAGGAAGCACAAGCAGGGAAAATTAAGGGCACAGGAGAATAAGATACTGCAACAGATAATGGGAAAATGAAGTTGAAGGACTGCATGTAATACTTTAGCCAAGCAGATATAGAACATGTCTTATACTGGGAGAGTTCATATTATCTTGTTTCATGTGAACTTCAGCATTCAAGCAATGTGCATGGGAATAACACCTAGTGAGAGCCTACCTGGGCCAGCTGGTCAGTTTAAGTAGTAACAAAGCTTTTCTGCCCTGAAATTATTTGCATTTTTTGCATACTGGAGAATGATCAAAAGGTAGCTATTACATCCAGTGAATTATACTTACCTTTGAAGAAGTCTCCAGGAAAATCAGGAGGTGGTGAGACCATTGGGGAGTCTAAGTTCACAATGGATTTCATAACAATCTCCAAAGCATTTCTGCCATACTGTGTAAGAAAAAGAACATTGCTCTAACAATGCCATCCAGTGTTTGTGCCTCAGCCCCAAGCACACAGAGTTTAATCAGTATTTGCAATTCCCAACACAACATTTTTCTCCACAGTAGTAAAGGGAGCTGGTTATCAGTTTTCCCATTATAAACTGCACTATATAAACAGCCCAGTCTTAATGTCCAGTTAGAATTGCCAAATTAATCTTTCAGTTTGACTGAAAGGATACATACCATTTACTTAAGGCTTGGATAGTGAGCAAATGCAGAAAAGTAATTTACACACATTACATGTGTTCCATGTGGCTTTGTAAACAGAATTAAGAATGTTCACTGGCTAGCTCAGAAAGAGGCCTCCCATTAGGAAGTCACACAGCTAAAAGCACTTGACAAGAGAGGGAAGAAACCCTTCCTCAAGAGGTCATTTGTGGAAAAAGCACCACAGCATGAGCTTTCAAACAGAAATAGAGCCATCACCTTGTTGTCAAAATTGAATCTGCTGAGGTCTCGAGTTTCCGTCGCCCGTCTGTCACCGTGAGTGAGGGCTCCCTGTTAAGACACATCTTTGTAATGAAATCAAGTTTTAAGGAGAAGAGATCTAAGTTGTATTTCCTCAAATGAGGGATCAATTTCTTGAAACAATCTTACCAAACTCTCTAGCCTTTTTGCAACTATAGATGCAAATCTTTGCTCTCCTGCCAATTCAGAAATTAGGAACACGTACTCCGGAGCAGTCACTTGGTTGGATCTATGAGTTCTTCCTGGATAATTAAGTAGAAGCACACATGTTAAATAAATTCTTCTTAATTGAACATTTCTAATAAACTATGAATTGTGAAGAGTAAAGACAAACAGCTAGAACTTGAACTTGGGCCTGCTGAAAATTGGTTTTTTTCCTGCAATATACCAAAGGCAGGTAGTGCTCAAATGCTCTACCTGTGGCAACTTCCATAAGGATACTTGAGCCATGGAAAAAGCCCTAAGCTGCAGTTTAAGTTTTCTCTGCTAGGTTTCTCTCAAAGCTTTCAATACTGTTAGCTGGGACTACAGATAAAGTTGATTCTGTTCATGGGTAAAGGGGATTGGAAGGGTCCTTGCTTAATCTATCTTAATTTCCTTGGATTAGAACACAGAATTAGATACAGAGAAGTTCTTTACCAAACTGCTGTATTGCTCTATCCGCGCTCCACGGCAGCTCCAGAGTCATGTGAACTCTCCGCCTCTGATTCTTAGCTCTGCGGTCTGCTTGCAAGGATATCCCAGAGCTGGCAGCCTCTGAGATTATGGCAATGTTCTTTTATTAAGAAAGGAGTTGTTAGTTAGCAATAAATCCAAGATTAAGCTTCAGTTTCTAAAAAAAATTAACTTTACAATTACTCCTAACATGGCTCTGGAATAGTTTCACTGTTATTTGATCTTCCTATCACAAGAAGAAGGGGCAGGGGAGAAAGCATTGCTCTCTACCAGAGTTAGAAATGACTGAATCTTTTTTGAGGGAAGAGAATGGGTTTTGCTTTACTGGGTGAAGTGAGGCAGTGCACCAGTCTTGCCATTCCAAAGGGCAGGTTTCTCTGATGCTGGCCTGCACTTCAGAAAGAAAAGGTGAGGGGGACACAGAGACTTGCTCTGATAGCAACCAACACAAGGCAAAAGTCTGCTGTTAATACTGTATAAGGAAAAGGAAACAGCCATTCTATTATGTGAATGCATTTGCCTCAGAAGAATGCAAATGTTTGGACTGTGCAGAGATCACAGGAACATGAGTATTCACTCTCAAGCGCAGCAAAAGACCATAGAAGTTCCACACCAAGAGCTACATTTACTTGACTTGCCCTCTTGTGGTAACATGGCCCAAATGAAGCACAGGAAAGTTGTGTGTTAGTTTTTTTTCCCCCCCTCTCCCCTCCAACTTTTATCAGCTTCAATTCTACCATTATTCCAGTTAGTACTTTCTTGCAGAGTGCAACATAAAGGACAAAAATCTGTCACTCTTGCCAGCATTGCTTCTCAATCCTTGTTAAGGTGAAAGCCCTCCACCTTTTCCCTTCAGCTCCTCACTGAAGGTTTTTCCTATCAAGTCAGTCAGTGGTTTTCCTCATTTCTCCATTTCATTATTTCCCCCTGGAAGCAGAGGCCCACACTGATCCAGGTAAAGGAATCACAGAGATGTGGAGGGTTTATCTGCCTTTTAAGCATATGGTGTTTTACAAGACCAGCTCAAAAGGTGCTAGCTTTCAGCTGGCACACGTGTACACATCTCGTGAGCACAGGCCTCTGTGGCCACCCAAACCACAGCCTGACCTTTAAGCATGCTGCAGCCATGTCCTAGACAGGGCAACTGAATGTACTGATTTGAAAAACAGAACACAGCAGTGAACAGAAAACGCTTTCTATCTAGCATGCACTTACAGTACTTAAAAAGTCACTGTGGGGTAATGTAGAGCCACAACTTGAGGAACTTAATCAGTGTTACTATGGCATCTGACAAGTTTTTTTTTTTTTAAAAGTTGGGTATCATTAAGAACTACCTTATCTCCATCCATGAACCTCTGTTTTTCTGTGATGTTGAGAATTTCAACAGGCACATCGAGTTCAGACCTTGACTCATAAGATATGCTGCCATCATCATTGCTCACAACTCTCCCTTTCCGGCCTGTCATCTTTAAAGACAAAAGGGAATACAAGCTCATTATAGCAATACCAACTTTACTACCTGACCCAAACCAAGCTATGATGCTATTTATTCACATACAAACATTAAAATAGATTCAGGAACTTACTCCAAGTGCAAAACTACATAAGAGAACCTGGATTTTTTTGGTTGATGTCATTATCTGCTATGTGCAACATTTACTTAGAGGTAACTCAGAGAATCAGAACTATAACAATGTGTATTTATCTATGTAGAAATTATGTGGCTTTATACTACTGTCCATAAGGGATTTATCAAGACCACTAAGAAAATACACTAAACTGACAGCTGAGATTGTCACTGACTTCAACAGGGTGTTTTAAAACAATGTTTCTGCTTGATACAGACAGACAGCTTACTAAAGATGTTTTAGAAGTTATTCCAAAAGAGATAATACTTCACCAGGCTTTTCACCAACACAGGTTTATTACACAGCTTCTTAATCTTCATTGCCAAGGAAGATGAACTAAAGCTGCTTTGTTTTATACAAACCACCTTCAAGTTGACTACAGCTAGTTAAGAGAAATATACCACTATAAAGCAAAAAAAAATAGAGTCTAGTTTCTTGTTGGGTAAATCATACTACCAGTTTTAAAAATCATTTATTTACCCATCCAGAGCTCTTCTCTGCATTCCAATACAATCTTCAAGTTTCTCTTTAATTGAGAGGCATTCAGCAAGGAAACATTCCACCACTGTGAGACTACTGTCTAGCACTGATAAACAAGTTATCTTTAACAGCTCAGTAGGTGACATGCAACCTTGAGTTTACTGCAGCCAGATAATACATGGCTGCAGAAAAAAAACAAAACTTTTTTTTTTATAAGTGTGAACACCAGCCTACCTCTGCAACATTTTCGGGACCACCCAGTTCATCTATAAGCTCATCCAGTGTATTAGGTGGAAGATCTTCAGCCAGCTTTTCCAGTTTATCAAGTAGTTCTTTTTTCATTTGTTGGGCCCTTTCGACAGCATCCTGACTTGTTACAAAGCTGCTGTTTGTGTTGCTGTTTGCTGAAATTTAAGAGAGACTCCTTATGATTTAGAATTTTGCTGCCTAACTGCTAAGAAAGGGAAGCAACATCAAAGGGACTTGCTCTTACCTGATGTGTTGGTGCTAGAAGTGGTGGTACCAACAGTGGAAGTAAAACAGCTAGGTCGTTTGGATCCGAGACCAGAAGCTAGTAAGGCACTTTGAATAGAATCTGGGTCTATACTTTTCTTCTTTTTCTTCTCTTTATTTTTTTTATGCTCTTTTCTGATTAACCAGGGATCTAAAAAGTTCAATAGAAGGTATTTTCAAAAAGTTTCAAGCATTTAGTATAAAGTCATCCTTTCATTTGAAAAGCTAGTCTTGTTACAAGAGGTGACAAAGTCTGAACTCCAGTGTGTAAAATCTACTTACAGAATATGTTGATCAACACTCTAGTACTAAATTCCAGTCTCATTAAACTACACAGTTATCAAACAGCTGGTTTTGGCTTACTGGGATGGTTAGAAAAGACTTCATGGTCACTGCCTGCAAGTACAGCGACTTGCTTGATGAAACACTTTAAACTGTCTTACCATCTTCATCATCTTCACTGGATTCATCTCTGAATGGGTTGAAGTCATCATCATCTCCAGAACTCAAAAACTTGGAGCTCTCATTGTCACTTTCTTCGTTGTCTGAAGCATCAGACTCACTTTCACTCTCATCAGAGCTGCTACCTGCAAGGCCACCTGTTTTGCGAGCTTTTTTGGCTTCTCTGCTCATTTCTTCACCTAATTCCATCACCACAGAAGGGGAAAAAAAAACACCACCATATTAGATTAGACCTTGTAGTCTACTTTCAAGGTTTGTTTTACCACCATTGCATACAAACTTGAAAAAAGTCTAAAATAGAACTGTTTTAAAGTTTTAACTCAGAACTCTTACAAGGTTTTTAATGTCACCTGCTTATTGGTAAAACCCCCAGTCAGTCTGGGAAGAGGGGTGGTATCAGGCTTCCCTTTACTGAGCCTCAGGAAAAAAAAGTAATTATTTGCATGACTGCATCAGGAAGTGGTTTGACATATGCACAGCAATTTGGGATATGCTCCCATACTAGATCAACCCAATTCTGGGCAAAGTAGTAACCAGAATTTACAGGTCATGTACTACTTCAGCAGCAGTTTTAAAATCTGTTAATGGAAACTTCTAGAAGTCTTAGAGACTTGTAATACATGTTCTTTCACGAGTGATTGCACCAATTATTTACATTCCCATATTTCTTCCAAAGTCTACTCTTAGGCAGCTCTACAATTGCCACTTTCACTATGGCATTAATGTTAGAACTTAAGCATCACCTTTCCGTTTCTTTATTTTGTTCTCCTTGCAAGGGCTGTCTCTGGGTGAATTGTTATTACTTTGAGCAGTTAAGTCAATTCCCAACAAGCTGAACAACTTCTTCCTGTCAGGAGCTGGAAAGTGCTTTTCAATAAGAGACTGAAATACTCCCCTGTTTAAGGAAAAAAAAAAATAAATAAAAAGGGTTCCTCAGTCCAATTTGCATTTATTTGAAGTACAAACCTGTAACATTTTAACAGCTTGCTTGACTTGCTCTGAAGAGTAATTCCTTCTGAATGCTATTACACAAGTACTCAGTGTAATTATCAGTCATATACTGTATTTGTCACCTTCTTGAAAGTAGGAGGCATTTACTTAACAGCACTTACTTATAGCTTGCTAAATTTGGTTTTGGTATCAAGGGGTATTGCTACTGCCATTTTCTTAGGGTTCAGTTTAAATGACAGATTAACTTTATTAATAATCTTTAGCAAGGTTGTCTCAAGATTGGGTCTGGTAAGAGGGAAGTGAGGACTGTAACTCGCTTTGGCAGTACACCTGGTGAGTTCTCCCCTGCCCCAGCCTGAGGACAGTGCTGGCTGTTCACACCTGAAAACATCTTTTCAGAGTGCCAGGAGAACTACAAGGTAACCAACGGTTTACTTGAGAAATCCTGTCAGATTTTTTGTCCAGGGAGTTTAAGTAAAAAACAGCAGCACTAAAGGACACCAAACTTTTCTGTGCACCAATGCATGTTCCACACATGAAAGGACAAACTACTGCACACGCTGTGCTGGATCAAGGTTAATTTTGTAAAGGATAGTTCTAGCAAACTTCAGACTTACTTTGCTGTAGAAACAAAGTCATTCAGTTCACCACCACCTTCTTCTAAAGCTTCCAATGTTCTTGCCTCTCCTGTTGACTGCAGGCCAATAACAACGCACTAAGGACAAATGAATACAAGCCATTGTCAC